CGAAAGTTCGCCACGCGGATGAAGCTATAGCTATCGTATAAGGCGGGCAAAAAATTTGTGGTAAGAGAAAAGAAAGGTTCTGTAAAAATTTTGGAACTTGACAGCAATAACAGGGATATGTTGACAGAGACTCTTCTGATGAGTCCGATATCGACAAATCGTCAGACTCAATGAGACTATTTAAGATATTATCCATGTACAGTTGACCACACACAGTCGCTCCATAGTGCTTTCTTTTGTTTGTTTTCTTCGCTCAGCCACTCTAGCGTTCATATCCTTTTTAGTCTTCCCCATTTTGCCAGATCAGCTTCAAGAAAAACCGAGCTACAGAAAAATTATTTCACCTCCTTTGGCACCTTAAGCGCATTGCAAAACACAAGGGCTTTTTGGAGATTCACATGTAGTTTTCATAGGAGGTTAATGGTAGTAAACTTTCCCTACACTGATTGGCTCAGTTATCTGAGAACCCAGTTGAAGGTGTTTGTGGGCAGAGTTTGTTTGTGAAGCAGAAGATTTTTCTCAGCACTGTTTTCTCAATAATTTTTTTCACTTGAAGAAGACACTTTAAAGAGTTACATGTATAACTCAAAGAGAATTTGTTCAATTGCCCTCAAATTTGGACAGTAGCTAGTTTAACATGTACATTACAAAAACGTGTCTGCAAATTGCAAATTTTGAAATACTTTTTCTTCGAGAGCGATTTTTGTACGATCACACCACATTTTTTTTAAATCCTATTTTGAAAATGTTCTGTAACTTATTACTACAATTGAATATGCCAAAACGCAGACACATTTTTTAAGCACTTTGGGCCCTGAAACGAGGAAAAAGTAAGATTGGCGAAAAACAAAATTTGCTTTGACTTGGAGCTTTCGAAAGGTGATTCGAGCACTCGCATTTAGTGGTCATGAAAAATTTGACAATTCATTTTATTTCAAAATTCTTGGTATGGTTTGATAGCCAGCTCTATAAGCTTTAATTTGATATGGGGTTTAGGTAACTACAGCTTAAACTGCATGCACTACATCACTTGCACGTGAGACACCCCTGAAGGTATACGGTAACCTTAAACATTTTACAGTGCCATCTGTACTAATCTGTTCCTGACCCGTAAAGATGAACAAAATAACCAGTTCTAATAACATATACAAACCTGATGGATTAGGCGGTGTATCTCTTATTGTGTGTAGAACCTGAAAAAAGAGAAGCAAATATTGCAAGTTACAAATGGAAATCAGTGCTAAATTATTAGCACGTGTTAAAATATGTCATCAATACAGTATCCTAGAAAATGCTTGTCATAAAGGTTATCAAATGAATGAAACTTGGTGATAAATCACAAGACACTTTGGCAACAAAGATAGCTTCAAATTGAGCAAAATTGAACAATCACTGCTCATATAGTAACTGAGAGACAACTTTAAATAAATTGTTATGTGACCAGCTTCCGAAATGGGGAAGATGAACCAAATCTTGTGCTGTGATTGGCTAACTGAGCTATCCTGCCCACTTGAGATTTAACCCTCTGCTTCCCCCCAAGAAAATGATGATCCTTATGCCATAAAGTAAAAATATTAAGGCATTTAATAAATATTGACCAAGGTTGTTTCATCAAGATGCCTGGGTAGTGGCTTTGTTTCTTTTTTTGTTTATAGTCCTCAATAATTAAGAGCAAAAAAGAACTTGGCCAATGTTCCAGCCAGTTTGACCTCATACTTGGTTGTGTTACATTTAAAGCACTAATCTATGTGATACATTTATTTAGAGCTAAAGGTTACCACAAGAAATGAGCAGTCAGTACTAAATAATAAGGAACTTGTTTACCTTCATATCCCTAATATTGTGAATGTATAAACTTTCTTCTAACACAACCAGCAGCCTCTGAAAAAGTTGTGAGTAAATAGCATTTAAAAATAAGGACAAAAAAAGAATTGGCTTATGAGAGAATCAGATTTCCCCTCCTACTGTGTTGTATATAATACGTTCACCACTCAAGATACATTAACTAACAGTTTTCCAATACAAGGATGGAAAATTCATTTAGTTAGCACACCTGCCCAATGAGTTTGTTGTCAGCTTCTGAACAATGTTCACATTAAAATATAACTATTGGTTATATAACTATTGGTTTGGCGTTGGTCCTGAAAAGCCCCAATGGGGAGTGGCCAATCAAGTATACATTACATTACATTACAATCCTTCAATATAGCCTCGCCCTTAAACAGCATTTTTAGCTTATTGACCACATCAACATTATACATGTACCAGTATTGACTCACCACTCTGTTTAGTCTGACAGCTAAGATTGTGTTGGGATAACTGTAGTTGCATATTTCTGTGCCTTTCTACAAAACAAAGGAAATGATAAAAATTGTTTTTGTTTGAAAGATTAAAGTTGCAGTTTTCTTTCAATGCAAAGGAAAGACAAGATGACTTTTCTAACAGTTTTTAAGCAGGAGATCTGGTTAGTTTTATACAAAGTTTGTTCCAGCTAGGTTAAAAATATAGAGTAAACTATTTCAAAGAAAATTATTACCACGCAAATGGTAAAAATAATGAAAAGTTGATGACGCTTAAAAATGCTTGTTTGGGTGGGGGGTAGGGGGTGGGGGTGCTTTGCTTAATATTTCCACCCAGGATTTGGGGTGTTTCATCTAATACTCAAGATTCAATAGTTGCTATTGGAAGAAGTTTAAAGACCTATATTTTCCTCACATACAATGTACATGCATGCAATGTTTAACAATTGCTAACCATTTTTAAAAAATGATAAACTTTAAATTATCCTACCATCATGTAATCAGAGAATGATGTTGCATGAATAGAGACAGAAACTTTGCATGTTGCTCACATACAGGGTACTGACAGACACGGTGATTTAAAATTTTCTCTTTACCTTGAAGTGGCAAACTTTGAGCTTTCTAGGTGCAGACAAGCTGACAATTGCTACAAGACTACTTGAAAATAATCTCTCTACTATGCAAATATCTTCTGTTTCTCCTAAACATGAGAAAAATATGCACCATAATTAACACCAACAGATATTCGAAATGAAGGTGAGCTGAATTGAAGAAAAAAGGGTTGCTATCTTGCAGCTTAATAATCATTTGAAGCTACTGGCATTACAGATGTCACATGAAGTCACACGATAAAATAAATTATAAGATATGCTGTTCTAGCAGGCACATCAATGGCTGACTCATTAGTAGGCTCAACTCCATTTCAAGTGATCTGAGTTTGAGCCCTGGCCAAAACTTCTGTACTCGAGTCAAAGTGATCCACTGTTGTAACACGGTAATCTCCTTTCACATCCCATGTTACTCCAACTTTTGTCAGTTTCCCAAACAGCTCAGCATTAGTATTGAGTAGGGAGTGGGATTATAAAAATTTGAAAATCTGGAAATAGGTCTGGAGAAGTCAGAGGTCCACCAGAGTAAAATTATGACATGCAGCACAGTATTGAAACAGTGCCAATTGGAGGTAATAAAAATGATGGCAAATGACATGACTTGTGTACTGATATTCTGATAGCACTGTAAACACCTTCAGAAATAAACAAGAAACCAAAACGTTTGGAATTTAGATGGGCGCATCATCTATGACAACCCTCACAGATTATCTGGGAGTCTCCTGGATACAGACAGAACCTCCCAGTCTACCGTACAGATCACCAAATCTCCTGGGCTGAGTTGTTCAATGTTTGGTTAAGCTATCCTAGGGTTAGCAAGAATTTTTATTTCAAATTTGCAACTTTTCCGTTTCTATTGCTTGTCCTTCAATTTTAATTTTGAATAATCTCAAACTACACAGAACATGAACAGTGAAGAACAGAAAATTACAAAAAAAAATAAATAAACAAACAGTGAAGAACATTTTTATACAAGAAAAATTTGTACCTTTGTTAACGTCTAATCCAGGGTTAGCATTAATGAGGGTCCCCAATAGGTTTGGCAGGATGCAGGATTTGGCTTTTTTTTGCCATGATATTTGGGATTTGAGCTGAAAACAGGGATGGGAAGCAGGAATTACAATTATGCGCAGGAGCGGGATTTCGTGTTTTTATGGTGTTGGGATGCGGGATTCGCAAGGGGAACAGAGCGAGATACGGGATTTCAATTCTTACGTGACCTCATAAATTGTTATTGACCAGCGCAAAAAAAAAAAAGTTGGCAGAAACAAACCTTTTGTACATATAGCTGTGTCAGGTTTCTAGTAATAACAGAGTGAAAAGTAACGGCTTTGTACTCTGTCAGGTTCTGTTAAATGTGTTCATTATCGTTTAGTATCATAGGACTGTATGAGCTCTTTGAGTCCTATTGCGATCATTTGTGTAGTCTACGTAGCTTGGCGGTTACGTTTTTAAACAATTTGAGTGCGATAAGAAAGCAGCGAAGCCGCGATAATGAGCACCAAAGCTGTGTTAAAAATTGCTTAAACCGTCGAGCTACACAGTCTATCATTTGTGTTGAGTTCCGACATCAATGACATTTGTTCCTTTCTGACATTTTCGACTCTTGCAACTGTAATCTTGGCCCCACGATCCTTTCTAGTTTTTTCAGTCTTTCGACCTTTTCTAGAGTGCTTGTCTGAGTGGCAGTGATAGTGATTTACCGAATGAAGTATGCAACATTATAAATTGTGTCACCATATATTACGAAAAGGATGCGCAAACAGGAATGCCTTCATTCAGAAAGAAACGTTCTGAGGTCAGATTTCAAGGAAAGTGAAAACGCTGAAAGCTTTGAAAGAAACTATCAAGTGTGTTTACAGGCCATCTCTTAAATATGGGAATGAACAATCTTTTTCTTTCACTGATACGTGAATAAAAGACAACATAACAATAAACCACTTACAAAAAGAAACGTTACAATCATTTGTGCCAACTTATATGCTATCCATTGAATTCTTTTTTTATCTTTTATGTGATATCTATTTTTAAAAAGTTTCTGGGTTAATAATTAAACTAACTATTAATGAAACAAATTAATAATTAACACAGAAGCGTCTTTGAAAAGTGGATGGGATCGGGATTTCCAGGCAAAAAAGGGCGGGATAGCGGGATTAACAAGAAAAAATGGTCAGGAAAGCGGGATCTGAGAACCCTATTGTGGACCCTCATTAACTGACTTTCAAAAAACCCGGCCCTGGACTGTTAACATGAAAGTGCATAATAAACATTTTTCAAAAATAATCTGGCAGATATTTGGCATTTTTGAGGCAAAATTTTGGATTTATTGATGCGTTTTTGGAAGATAATTGGCAGAGATCTACTTTAAGCAGCTTTTTTAGGGTAAAAAAAATGGTTATCTCCCGTATTTTGATTCTTAGGTCATGGCATCTCTGGGACATATATAACCCTCCTATTCTGACAGGACCTTACTTCAAGGACGTGCATCGATCAGTTTGAGGCTCACATTGATTGCAGTAAATCTACAGTGTGTATTCTAAATAATGATCGTCATGATGATAACGAAGTTAAAATGTCAAAAACCTAAATGTAAGTCAGTGAAATGACTCCTTACAACATGCTTATGGTAAAAGGAAATTATTAAAAACAGTAATTAGAGATTCGCTGAATCGTGACAAAAAAAGGACAACAAAAAAACCGTTTGGGTCCTTCACATTTAAGACTTCGGAATCAGCTGATCGTTAGCATCAAGGAAGGCTTTATTCTTTTGTTTACGTTTAAATGCAGCTCACGCAATAAAATCCTTAAAAACAACTCGCCTTTATTGTAACCCTGTTCCAACAATTAATGACTGCCGTCATGAAAAGGTTGAAAACCAATAATTACAAACGATGTTATTAAAATACCACTGCAAGATAAACGAAAATGACGACATAGGCTATAAAGTTATCCTCACGATTGCATTGCCCTTCTTACATCCAAGCACTTACCATATTCATAAATCTCCTCTAACTTTTCCACAGAATTTAAAGAGAACAATTTATAGCCGACTTTTGATCCAACTGCCAGAGAACTAAAGAAAACAGAGATGCAAGAAGACAAGCAGTCAAAATGTATGAAGAAACATGAACAAAGAGTGACTCATCTTTCTTCGTTTGTAGAATCGCTTACCTACAGTCTTGATTAAAATTAACGCAGAGTAAGTTCCCCGTTGGATCTCCGCCATAAGCAGCGAGATTCATCGGTGACAATGAAGAATTTCACTCCAGTTTTCTTGATTTTTACCGGACTAGCGGAGGAGTTTATAACATTATCAACAATAACAAAACCTGCTAATGACATGCGCATGGCTGATTCAGAGATTTCAATTTTACCCACAATGCACTTAGCAAATATTTCCTAAATTTATTGCTGCGGAGCGAGCGTAGCGAGCGAGCAGCAACATAAACAGGATTTAAGAAGAATATATAAAAGGGGATCCAAATTCTCGAATTCATCACTTTTTACCAGAATGCAT